TTTGTGTGCGTCACTCATGTTGTTAAAAGCGTATGTTCGTTGAGTGCAAGTCCAGTCCAGTCGAAGTTGTCGTTAAATGAAAGTTTTTGTTGAATGAAGTCGTTATTTTGTAATTGTTGGTTGCTGCTGATTATACGATCGCTATTGAAGAATCTTGGTTTTTAAAAACGTTATTGCGAACTGGAGTCTGATTTATGAGCTTTACCTGTCCTGTAAAATACTTTATTTTACATTGGTTACCACGACGTGACAATTCGCGACCTTTATTTGGAGCTGAAAGAAATAGTGTCATTGGAGCAATCGAAGGATATCCTATCGTCACAGAAGTAATCGCTTAAATGGCCGAAAAGACAAGGCTGGCTGAAGAAAAAGCAAGAAACCCCTTCGCCAACCGCACAAACGTATACAAAGCGGAGGACGGACGGCCTATTTGTTACAGCTGCTTACGACGAATAGGCCACGTTTCAAAATACTGCTTGGACAGGCGCTATGCCCAGGCTAGTGACGTCAAAGGCAGTATCAAATTTGGGATCCCGCAGAATGTATCAAATTTTCAGAACGCACTCGATGGACTGGAAGCCAAAATGAGAGACTTGGGAGAATTAAACCGAGAACTCAAGGATTGGACAATGCCCTACTAGTTTGATGTTGTTCCATCAATGCCTAATCATTCTTATGGAACGCAAGGGCAGGATCAGATGGAATCTTGCGTTACGAGCACGTTTCTTCGCTTGGAAAAGAGATTTGTTATGAAAGACAACAAATGGCTGACAAAAGGGAATCCCTCCAAGAGAAACACAAACTCGATTGGAAGCACGGACATTTGAAAAAAGACTACGGAGAACCGCTTAGAGACATTACATGAAGTAGCTGTATTGTGAACTAACTGTATTTTAAATTTCTTGTTTTGTTTGTTGTTCTATTTGCATTTCTCTCTCTCTCTCTCTCTCTCTCTCTCTCTCTCTCTCTCTCTCTCTCTCTCTCTCTCTCTCTCTCTGAGGGTTTGGTGTGCGTCACTCATGTTGTTAAAAACGTATGTTTTTTCAGTGCAAGTCCAGTCTAGTCGAAGTTTTCGTTGAATGAAGTCGTTATTTTGTAATTGTTGGTTGCTGCTGATTATACGATCGCTATTGAAGAATCTTGGTTTTTTAAAAACGTTATTGCGAACTGGAGTCTGATTTATGAGCTTTACCTGTCCTGTAAAATAAGTTATTTGACAGTGGTTTGGAAATAAAAAGAAGGACAGACATTCTCCTCGAAACAAAACTAGAGGCTTTATTCATGCGCTTGCCATGCGCTAAAACTTTGATAGAGTTGTCTATGGACAATTCTGCAAGAAACTGAAGACAGGTTTTGTTGATTATCTTGAAGTCTGATCAGGCAGGAGATAGCTCTGGCAGGAGATCCAAGCTTTCTGTTAGCTGTTCTACTATACAAGATTTAAATCCATACAGCAAACATTTTTTTGCTATGTGTGAGAAGGAAGAACCGCAGGATAGGCTATCCGCCGGATTCTGTGAATCTTGCAATGAGTGTTGTTATGAAAGATATACAGGAGCAAAGCAATACGACGACGAGAATCCAATGTCACGAAATAAAATTTTCAAAATAAATTAAATTTAAAGAATATACTAATATTTCACCCCGAGCATACAGGGCTTCATCAGAGTAAAACGACAGTAAAACTTTTTTTGCTAGTCTGACCGCAAGGGTCATCAGCTTTTTCCAATCAAACATTCGCTGTAATTGAGTAGCATTTTCTTTATGAAATTACAATGGGATACATTGACTAAAAAATTATTACATTTAAAACAGCTAAAATGTAGAACGTCGCAGAGTTATTGGTGATAAATTAAAATTTCTAAACCAAAAGAAAACAAATAAAAAGAGATTATTCTATGCAATTCAAGAGCAAGTAATAAGTAAATCTGGTAAAAAAGTTCATATTTTTCTATTGATGCTGATCTAACGACAACTTTGTCAAATCAGGATTTGTGGGAGCCCACCACCTTGCATCAGCTTCACTTTTTAGAACAATATAGGGCAATTAAGAATATTGCTTAAAGACACGTATTTCTCAATTGCCAGTTACGTTTGATAAATGCTTTTCCAATGTTATAATTCTTTAAACGACTTTACTAAGTAGGTAAATGCAACTTGGGGGCATTGACACATTATAAGGAGAATCAACATTTCAACATGTCACAGAGTTAAGGATCAGGCAACGCAGAGCGCTGAAAAAGTGGGAGTCTAAAAAAGTGCGGGGGATAAAACCGAATACAAAGAGGGTTTACTGGTGGTTCATTTGTTAATATCTTGCATTTTGTTGCAAAAGTGGGTGGGGGTCTGAAGCCCCCCTGCTCCGTGGAGCCTGAAGATTGATAAAGGTTTTTCTAAATAAATTCGTTGCATTGTTTTAATTTTGACTATGGTTGTAGAATTGGAAATTTCTTGCTGTTTTGCAGTATCCATTAGTGCCTAATTTCTAAAAGCTTTTATGCAAAACACTATCATCAGGATAGACAGATCAAGTTTGTTATCATATCCACCTAGAGGCAAGAGAAAGCTTTGATGTCGTCATCGATTCATTTGCTGCGAGAAGGGTGCAGCAAGCAATTTTTATACTGTAGGTAAACGTTAAAATCACATTATTGGCAAACAACTATCCATCCCCTTACTCTTAGTGACACAAAAAATTATCTATCTTAGCGTAAAGAAGAGAAAAGACTGATCAAATAAATGGCTTAAAACATCAACTGTGCCATAACTCAGTTGGTTTGTTTCCATGTTGGTTGCCTTAAAAATGCTTTGAGATGTTTTGTATTGCCTAAAGCCCCCAGCCTACCCTCTGCTCCGCGGTGCCTGTTGCCCTACATCATTGGTGGTAAAGTGCCTATAGTTATAGTTCCTAGTAATTTTTGCTTTATAGGTCTGATTTCTGTTACATTAAAAATATCATTAGCTGGCAATTTTTTTTATTTTCCTTGTTTGCACAAGTACTGGCTGTCATAGGACTAAATCTAAAGCACGGCACTAGAGTGACCTCTTGGACGCCTACAATGCATCATGGGAAGCGGTTGGGTCGCTACGAAGATGGAGCGTACGCAATCGTCAGTTGTACAAACTGCAAGTTCGAAGTAGGGTCTTGCCTAATTTGAATTTGATCGAAAACATGTAAAATTTTAGTTAATTAATTTATATATTAAGCCAGTGGCCTATCTCGACAATTTTTGCGATTCTTTGGCATGATAAAAGGGATGGCTTGCGACAACTCTCAAAATCCCAGGTTGGAAGAGAAAGATCTCAATTTTATGACAGCTGGTGTTATGTTATTCTTGGGAAGGTCGTACCGGGGAAGCAAAGTTTATGCGGAGGTCTTGCTGCAATGTAAATGTGCTTGCAGCATAACAGAAATGGGTGAGTTTGTCAATTTTTATATTGTTGAAAGTCAAAGATAAAGTTTTCATTTCTTAAATGTAAAGCATTTTGAATTTCATAATTATGGTTTTGTTTTGCTATGGTTCAGACTTTCCGCCATAAAATTGTCGTTTTTCAACACTTGCATAAATTAACATTATTTTAGTATGAGCCAATGGCTGTTGCTATTTGCACTGACGTCAAAAGATATTTCGTATTCATCTTCTGCTCCCAGCATTCTTTGCGAGCAAGGTCGTTGTTGAAATCTCTTCTAAAAATGGCCGATCGATGGTATTTTACTCGGGAACAAATACGAAACTCTCCATCAGTTCGGGAAGGTGGGATAGACTGTGCCAAAGAGCTTGGATATAGACAGCAGTGTGCGAATTTCGTTCAAGATATTGGGCAAAGACTTGCAGTGTATGTACACTTCCCCAGTAGTACTACACGACGATTGATTTCCTATGCACACTGAATGATGTCTTCCTCGTCCAGTGTGACGCCATGCCCGTCACGAAATTGGTTTACTTTATATTGTCCATAATCCATTTTTCTCCAGTCTTGTGCTTCCTTAAAATCTTTCATTTTAATGTACGTTTATAGAGGTTTGAGGTTACCTACCTTTCTTATCGCGAAATAAAACGGTTAGGCATGCACGGCGGCCTAGTCCAATTTTGCTGTCTGTGGCGGTAAAGTTTTGATATCGCTCAAAATGTATCGCCAAGCTGATTCAAAGTAGCTTAAAATCCCTTAACAACTACGATATCTAACGTTCATTGGATAGCAATATATCATTCCACAGCATCACTGTTACCCTCCCGTCAAACATTGAGCTGCTAGGCCAACAATTTTGTCGTCGTATGGATTTGATTGTGTCGGCTTACGAATTTTTCTGCAAACATCAGTAGTAAATGATGACCAGAAGTAAAGGTAAAAAAATTCTTGAAAAAGAAAAGCTTTTTTGTATTTTAAGAGCATTTAATTCTTTTTCAAATTTCTTCTCTGTTTCCCAAAACATGACAAATCTAGCCTAAATTTCATACACCATATTTTTTCTGAACCTTCTTAAAAGAAAATGTATCTCTGTTAGGAGATGTTTACAGTGTGCGGGTACACATTTATCCTCAAAATATAAAACTAGTTGGAATTTTTAAGAATACTTTTTTCTTTTGCCATACATAGGACATTGCTTGATTCCAGTGTCCTAAACTTTTGCCAAAAATATGAATCTAACCTATGTTTTAATATACAATGTTTTGAAAATATAACTTAAAGATTTTACTGACTGGTTTAATTTGATCTGATCATGTTCCAAAGTGACTGAATTGAAAAACCACATCTATACATGACAATAAATAACATTTTGTGATGGCATTTGAGCTGTAATTTCTATTGTGTTTCTGTTGGTGGTTTGCAAATGTTTGTTGGCAAAATTTCTCTGTTCAAATGTATGTGTTTCAAATTTAAGATATTGGACCACAGCCTTTGTGTTTCCATTTATCCTTGGAGGTATCAGAACAAATGTTGAAAATCTAAAATAATTATGTATATTAGCGTTTCTTCAAGGTTATCAGTGTCTCTATGTAATCAAATCACATAAATCATACTTTAAACTACTATCACAAAGCTTACAAGATAAAGAATAAAGATATAAATTGTATTTAAATGCAATCTCCATAGTTAGTGTCTTCTCTTATTTTTTTTTACTTTTCTTCCACTCACACATAAAACCCATGACACAGACCTTAGCACAATTAATTAGAATGTACATCTGATCCTTCTTTTAATACCTGCATGTTGTTCTCTACTTTTGTCACTTTTGTTCTGAGGCATGCATCTTGAAAGTATGGTGCTTTTAATATCCACATTCCCTGTACTCCTTAGGATGACAATATCAATGGCATGTGCATCCCTTGCTCTATATTTATTATTCAGTTGTTGAAGTTTCTTTTCCATTTAATGCTTTCCAAATTTTTTAGTTTTGGCCTCCACAATCAAAAACAGGAAAAAATGGCACCAAAAGCTATCTATGTGCTGATATTTCACTGAATTTACTATGGCTTGATATAAACGGTGGCTGGCAATGACACTAGATGCATCCAAGCAGCATCCCCCTGATAACCACACCACCCAAAACTTGTTAAAACATATAATCACAAGAAGAGAAACATAATTTCCCCATATTTCTGTTCTAAACCAAGCTTGTTGTTTGAGAAAATTATTTTCTGCATTTTTAGGAGTCAGTTATGCATCAACACTTCAATTGTCTACATGCACCGATTCTACATGTTCCACTCATTTAAACAATTCCATAGAAATGTGAGTGAACTTTTATTTTTTTAAAAGATTCTCTCTCTAGAAACATGAGGAAATTTTCATTGTTCAAGTGAAAATTGTTCACAGCAGTATCTCATGTTATTGTGATCTTTTGACTTTGTAAAAAGTTTGTCATGTCAGCGGCTTTTATCTTTTAAAACATGTTTAAGGTTAAGGACGTCATTTTTCATCCAAGCACAAGGCATTGTCGGTTTTTTTCTTTTGAATCTTCTATATTCTATGGAGTTCTAAGAAAATATCAAATTACTGTTTATTTACACTCTTTTTCTATAACAACAATTTTATCAGAACACAATCCTCAAAATTGGTCAAAAGTTAACAACAAATTAAGAACTAGCTGAGGCTCTGCTTCTACAACGTTTATTCTCAAAATCAAAGATTTTTAGCCATGTGTGTGTGCTTTTTGGTAAATATTCAAACCTATCGGCAAATGAAGGTTGTCTCACTCATTTTGTTGGCAAATGAGACCTGACTACCTCCCTATAGTGAAAAAGCTAGCACTCGCACTGCTTACACCCTATTAAATTAAGAACAATTTAAGAATAATCCAGCCTCAGTTTTCGAAAAAATTAAGAACAGTCAGCCTGAACTTAAATTTACTGGTTCTTATAAAAAAGTGTGTAAAAGCAAATAAAATGTGATGAATTGTTTTCATTTGAAAAATAAGCCAGTGCTCCCGGCTTTTTAAAAAATTTATTTTGGCTGCAATAACGCACTGTTATAATTGGGTAAGAGTAGGTGCACAGTTTGTTAAGCATAAACAACTTTTTAGACATGTCTTGAGGCATACAAACAGGCTCTATTGCCTTTCCTTGCAAGGCCTAAAGGCTGGATGCATGAAGAATTTCTGGGCAAATACTCAATGGCCAACATTCTTGACATATTTGCATTGACTATCGCAAGATTAATTTTTTGACCAAATTGTTTATCTAGTTACTTTTAGGTTTCAGAAGAATATAATTCTTCTGTGACAATTTTTATTGTTTATCTTTAGACCATGGCACCTTGCTTTATATTTCTTGGAGCAAAAGTTGAGGAACAGCCAAGAAAATTGGAACATGTCCTCAAGGTTGCCCATAGATGTTTGCACAAAGATTCAGATGTACAGCTAGATATCCAAAGTGATGTAAGTGTTTTGTGTTTTATTGTTATTCCCTTGCAAAACAGACCCAATACATTTGCAGATCCCTTAGAATGTCAACCTCCGTATGAGCCACCATGTGTCCTATCGAAAAATCCAGCTTCCATTTTTTTGCAATATCTAGTGTTTAATTTTTTGTTAGCCTTTCCTTTTTACAAATGGAAAACATAGCCATTTGTTTATAAGCTGGTTGTTTTTTATATTAACTGGGAAAACACAAATAGAATAAAAACTATGTTTTTTTGATAAAATAAACAAAAACAGCAAAAAACTTTTAGAATGTAAATATTCTAAGGCGGGCTTCATTGGAAGTAGACTTCTAAAAAGTGATTTCTTTGCATTTCAACACTATTACTGGCATGCTAGAAAGAAGGCGCTTATTCTCAATAGTATTATAATTTTGAAATGTCTTGCTCCACCACTGGCTATGCCAAAATAGGGGAACAGTATTGTCTTTTAATACAGCCATTTTGGGTCTGATATATGCTTTGGACAATGAAAATTTGTAGAAGTTTTTATGTTAGATAGAGTGTCAAATTAATGCAGTCATCATAAAATTGCTCAATTATATATGATGCTAGACAGAAAGTTTTTAAATCTGTTTTATGTACAGTCTGTGGCTTTAGTTATTGTTGTATAAAACAAGAAGACTTCAAGTTACAACTCTGAGGTTGATGCTCAATGTGATGATAAGGCATCTGTTAAATTCCCCTCTCTGCAGATATCATAGTATTTTGTTCTTCTGTCCCTCAGTTTCTTGTCTCTTGATTTACATATATGTTTAATTTTGATTTGATGAATATTTGAATTTATCTGTAGGAGTATATGCAAATGGCTCAGGATCTTGTTGACAATGAGAGTATTCTCCTACAGACATTAGGTAAGTGTAAATTTTATAACAATCTGCAGTCAGTTTGATATGTATCTGTATAAATTTGATAGATTATTCTAAAGAGCATTGGTAAACATTCCAACCATTTTACTTCTGTTTTTGTGAACCAGTTTATAACAGGATTCTGAACAAACTTTTGTTATCATGAACAAGAGATTTCAAGAACATGTGATCTTATTCTAATGCCTATAGGGTCATTCCATGTCAATTCACCGAGGCCATGTCACCCACCATCTCAGATTTTGCCAATGTTCATATATCATGTACCAACTGATAAGAATAGTTCATTCTCAAAATTTCAGACCATTATCTTTAGTACTTTTTGAGATATCCAGATTTGAATTTTCAAGAATTTTTAGGTAAAATTACCAGAATCCGCCATCTTGGATTTTCATACAGAGGACAACTAAAAACCAAATTCTAATATCTGAAAAGAAAATGACCAGAACACATCAAAATGAACTTATTTATGTAAATTCAGCTATGAGGAATTCAAAAATGACATCAAAATGAATATCTGACAGATCTGAAAGATTCTATTTATAGAAATCTCTGCTGGGGTTGAAAAATTGAAAGATTCCGAAAAGACAATTGTGTCAAATTTCATTTTGGAATTTCATGATGTTTGACAGGTAGCACCAGAATGAATTTTTGCAGTTAAATTTGAGGTACATTGAGGTACCAAAATATTGAATTCTGACTTGGTGTCTCTTCTTGTTCAAAAGCTACAAGCAGCTAAAGTAAACTGAAAATATTGTCAAATTTCTTGTGCGAAAGTTCCTTTTTTAATGTAAAGTGTATGTTTGAAGACATATAACTAGCAATATTTGAAGTTTAATCAACTCATTCTGTGTACACAATAAGCAAAGCATTCATTTAAATTGAAGATTTGTTATCTATCACTTTTTTACAGTGGATAATGTACAGTGGACCACACCCACTTATGGGTGCGGCAACATTGAACACCATGGGAAGGCTGTATTACTTAAGAATCTTTCAGACTTCACTCGAAAAGGTTGCAAATAAACACTTTTTCCTTGAAGATACAAGAAATCAAAAGGACAAAATCTTTTTGATAGTGCTGAAGGTAAAAATTTTGTAGAAACAGGTATAAAATTACAATCTAATTTAATTTTATCTTGAATACATGAATATACCAAAATTGGCTCATTTTTGTAAGAAAAAAATAATGCCTTACAGGCTCGTCATAATTTCCTTGATTTTCGTGAGATCTTTGTCTGCAATTTTATATGTGAGATCAACATACATTCTAACCGTATTGCTAGTGGAGGTGATTCTATGTTTAACTATGATAATGGTAGACACTATCAATCATATGTCTAATTAAAAAATACACGAAGTCAAACATAAATTGGTAAGCAAGATATGTAGCCTTAATTTTATTGACTTATCACAAGCTATGTTTGTTTGTGTTGCAAAAGAAAGGGTGGCTTATCTCTCACCTATAACCTCTTTTTTACTATAATACAAATGTGAGGAATATTCGTATTTTTTGTTCTTCATTAAACTGATCATGGTTCGTTCAAATAATTTGACTATATGCCAATTTCTATTACGAAAAGTCTCAGCACAAATTTATCACTCGCTTTTCAAACCATTCTTCACTGTCCCATCAGTTGATCGACGTGTTGAGTTATGAGTCGAGTAGTTTTCCCTGACTAAAATGTTTAAAGATTATTTGATTGTTTTAGGTCGTCTTGGTTTTTTACTTCGGTCGGTAAGTTTTGCGTTTGCCGTTAAGAAGCTCTTGAATGCTGCGGAACAGAATGCAGCTTTATCGACTAAAAGTCAATCTCTTCAGTGTTAGTCAAGCTATTCTCTTTCTTAAATACAAAGTTAAATATCTCTGAAAAAAGCATAACATCTTGCATATTCTTTATATCTATTCACATTCAATCTTTCAGACATCTCTCTCCGACAAGTTGGGCATCATATACTTTTGTCCAGCGGTACTCGACGTAATATGATTTTATGAATAGCTTTTCGAAGATACTATTGACACTTCCTCAAAGACCTTTAACAGGATTCTTATGCTTTTGGAAGGGGTCGGCAGCAACTTCTTCTGAAAAGCGCTCGTACGCCCTGCGCTAAAATTGTTTGTTCGGTTTGATGTGGTCTGGACATCAAACCATTGTACAATTTGGTCATCATTATTTCCAGACCTGTTCTTATTAAAGAAAATTAACTTCCGCTTCGCTCTTTAGCTCAAACGACTTTTGCTTCTTTTTATACACATACATAAGAATCGTATAGGTATAGATAGTGAAAAGCGAGAGTAGACACAACTCTTCCATACACGATAAACTAAAGAGCTATATTGGTAGAACACTAATTTCCAGAAACTTACTTACAGACATTTTTTTAAACGCGGTAGAATCTTTTCTGCGCTCTCGTTACTAAAAGCACTACCGTACATAGTATTGGTCCGGTAAAACTTTATATTTCCGTTTTGATGGAAATTAGGCTAATTGAATGACACTTAACTGGATCTACAAACTGAGATTGCTTGCAGATTCCTTCACTGTGCTTAGCATACTTTTTTACCTCACTTTGCTACTCTACCA